ACAATATGACGAATGCGTCGTGATTATCGAGCTCACTCCCCGAGTGGGTTATTTATTCGGCGGTTTCGGAATTTCAAGTTCGTCGAATTCTTCACATTGACCCTCACGGATCCACCAATTCTGTAATCCGTTCATGTTTACGTCGTCTTCTTCGTGTTTGATGACCGTGCTATCGGTCGTCGCTAGACCTTCTTGCCAGCATACTCTCGGTGCTCTGCACGACGATGACAGCTGCTAGCGAGCTCATCGGATCGGAACTGACCGAAAACTCCCGTAACCCGCGCGTGCTGATGGTCCTCCGGCAGCGATTCACGGAAGGGTTACTCAACTTTCGAAATGGAGAATCGATCATCCTTTCTGTGCAGATCAAACATGGATACTGCCCGTGACTCGATGAGACCAGCCGTGGACGCTGCGTCAAGTTTCATCAGGCTCTTGAGTGTCCCTCAAAGATGAGCTCGCTCCCAAATAATTTCGTCTCGGACGGCTCGGGGATTTCTTGCATGCGCGATAGGAACGTTGATTATCAGGCCGCCACCGTGGGTATACTCTACACGGTTCCGGTAGGCCCATCCTCTCTCATATCCTCTACCGCCAGGGCGCCAGGGGACGGATTCCCGCAACTTCTTCTGATAAAGCAACCGACACATTTCGCTGCTGATTCTGAGGCCGATTTCGAGCTTGTACTCGGTGCTATTGCGGGCATTCACTTTGATTCGTCGCTCCCCTTCGGAGCCGAACATTCCACCGCACAGAGAATAGTCAAGAGCCCCCACGATTTCAGAAAGGTCCAATGAATGAATGATTCTCACCGCACATCCCCATCTCCGGGACTGGAAGCCTAACATAGGTTTGGGTGTATCACATCTCCCCAGGATCGGAACTCGCCGCGATGGCATGCAAGAGCCGAAGAGTGAAAAGTTTTACTAATACAAACATCTCTGACTGAGAGATCCAAAAGTGATGGATCCCAAGGTGATGGTGATCCCATGTTGACGAACGCTTCTGCACATATTCGCTCCGACGCGCGACTCGTTTCTTTCGAGCTTCATGGGTCGATTGACCGATAAAGGGCCGCTTCGGTGGCATATTGTCTAGCTCGCCCCACAGTTTGTATAGTCTACGTACTTTGATAGAAAAAGGACAGAGTTGAACAATCACATCACATTGAATAATACGTTCACCCATTCCTGTTCATAACCGACTGAGTCCTAATCATTCCCGGACGTAAGCGCTAAAGAGCGCCCGCAGCTGCTCCATTCACAATGATCAGAAAACGATGATGTGAACCAGAACGGAGGGAAAATTGAGCTCACGGGAAAACTATCAATGTTCGAGGGGATTCTTTTAGCCTATAACCTTCTCTGCGCTGAGGCGGATGTTCCGGTAAAATCTGAGGATTTTGGCTTGCGTAGTTCAAGAGCGCATACGGGACATCCAAGTGCGTGTAAGTCATTTTTATGTATAGAGACGACTTAGAACATTCAGGACGTTTACCCGACTGCCACTGACTCGAAAAAAAATGATCGTCCGAAGAAGCGCGTCAAATACTGGGAATTTGAGCTGTACACAATCACATCAGAATTAGTGTACATAGCGTTTGGCAAAGTTGGCTAGGGAAAGAGGTCGAAATATATATAAATACCATAATATTATTAATATATCTCCCGTCGTTTATGCTATCAGTGGCTCCCCCACGTCCTGAAGTAGGTTGTTTCTAATTCGTTGAGCTCGTATTCAACGAATTGGTCGAGGAAAGTGATGAATGGGAACATGTCGAAAATGCCCTGTTTCAATGATTGAAGTTTCGATTTCACATGCGTCTCGTACAGAGGAGCTCGCAGGGAGTACTCGGCCAGACCCCGTGCTCTTCTGGAGAGCTCGATTTTCTCTGGTTTCTGGAGCTGTTTCGTGCCCTGCTGCATTTGCTGTATGCTCAATGCGTCCATTCCCAGAGCGATGAGGAAAGGTTTCCACGACTTCGTCCCGAAAAGTTTCATGGCGAAGAGGTGCGCCATTGGCGTCATAAGGTACATAACCTCGCCGATGAGCTGCGGTCCCTGGAGTTCGGTCGGCACGAATGAGAACTTCTCTTCCATCTGCTCCATGGGGTCGACTTTCTTCGTTTCGCACCAACGCCGTTCATTCAGCGGGGGCGTGGCCGCCAGCGTCCGAACCTCGCGTCCCGATTTCAAGGTGAAGGTCGCCTGAGCTCTCTTCTTGTGGCGGAGAGACCGCAACTTGGAGGCGTATTCCAGGTCTTGGCCGCGCTCCAAGGGCGGTACGGGAGTTTTCATTGACATTCCTTGTTTGAAGTGGAACAGGAGGACGGCGCGGATCACGGTTTTCGCCGTCTGAATGAAAGCAATCATCGACCACCGGTACGCGTCGCCGCTCGCAAAGAAAGTGATCTTTTCCAGGAAACACTGGAGATAGTCTAAGGCCTGGAGAATGGTCTTCAGGGTCGAAACTACCTGCACTGCGCTTATCGGAAGCGCATGATGCCGTCTGAGAATGATGTCGTGGGCAAGCTGCACGAGCTTCGCCGACGCTCGCATGCCCTCATTGAAGATCTCCCAGCCTCCATGTACTCGCCAGAAGGTGAAAAGTTCGATCACTGCCTCGACCTGCTTCGCAGCGATCGGGTTTTTCTCGACGAACTCCCTGTATCGAGAGAGGACCGACATTGTTGACGACGACACAGATGACGTGGGTGAGGAACTCGAGGAGACCGGCGGTGATCCTCAATGAAGTCCCGGTGGAAAAGGCACACAATCACAATCGAGACTGAGTTCTCGAACGAAAAACAACTCAATTGACGGCTCGGATCTTCCACGAGCCGAGCTCCGAATATTCTCCGTGCTCAATCGCTCGATCCCGTCATGGACCCATTGTACGAGGAAATTTCCGTGAGGAGCGAACGGAGAACGTTTTCGAAGCTTGAGCAACCCGTCAAAACACACTATACGGTACACTATACTCGACGTGAGTCGAAGCTGGGAGGATCGGATGAAGCAGGATCCGATCTAACAGCCTCTTTTCAAGGCACTTTGAGCAAGGGTTGGACGCTCGTAGCAACCCCTTGCCCAGCCGGTAACCTCCTCTGCCGAGACTTCAATCACCGAGCGACCCGTGGTCGCTCCGGATCTCGAGTCAGCTCATTACTCACCCTTTTAGAGGAGTCAGCTCAAGTGGGAGGTGAGTCCGCATGGGCCCACGGAGTGAACTCGGATTTTTTTTCACCCTGAGAGTCCTGTCGATTAAACTACTTGCCGGGACCCCCTCGCCTTTCTTATGCGCGGGACTTCCCTGCCCTTCTCGAGCCTATTCGTCTGCCTCTCCTGAGACCGCCCAGCGCCTGAACTCCCTAGCTCGTATGAGTCGAATCAGTCGCTGCATTCCGACTCGAGTAGGAGCTCCGCGAAGAGCCAATTAATGCATGAGCGAGTTGTTCGGTTGTGGTTGTTTATTTAAGACGATGAATAAACATTCAGGACGTTTACCCAACTGCCACTGCTCGAAAAGAGCGAACTCGTACAAAAGTCGGACACAACCTAGGTTCCAATGATTCGAAGTCGACGACGATGATTGCAACAAGTATGTTTCGACGAATGATTCTTCTCTCTTCAATTTTTTTCCTCATCACTGCCTCCCGCACCCGATTATTCTTCCGATCCTGACCTCTTCCACTTGATTTTCCGGTCGTCTCCGTTGGTCTCCGTAACACTCCCTTCTGATTTCGTTCGAACATCCATTCGTTGGATTGAGAGCGACCGAGTCGGCAACTATTTACAGGGATGGAGCCGTCAGTTTTCTGGTTCAATGCCATCCTCGGCGCCGGATCCGTCCTGATTCTCGCTAACGTCCAAGTCGGCGTATTTGTTCTTACTAGTTGGGTTCTGCAATAGGAGGAGAGATAGAATGTAAATTCAATGCGAGGTCGAATATCTCGAACGAATCTCGACAGCCTGAAGGGAAGGGAAACTTACGAATTGAGGTTCTTCCAGATTTTGAGCTGGAGCTCTTCTCTCAGAGCGCTGCTTTCGCTCTTTTTTCTCTTTTTCGACACGGATTTCTTCGCGCCACTTTTTCGATGAGTCCTGAAAAAACGAGTCAGAGTTGATTCGAATGGATTCGGGACGGGTTTCCGCATGTCGAGTTCACTGGATAGAGGCAGAAGATCTATCCTGCGAGCTCTAGGGTACAGACCTCCGACGGTTGCTCTTGGCGTGGCGACGTCTCTTTCGAAGAAGCCTTCTGTTGTTCAAGCTTTTCCTGTTGCTTCGCTTTTTCGGCCTCTTCTCTCTGTTTAGCTTCGAGACGTTTCTCTATCTCTTGAAGTTTAGCTGCGGTATCGACCGGCTTCGCAGCACCGAAGATATCCGCTGCTTTGGGTTTCTCCACTTTGGGCTTTTCTGGCTTCTTTTCTGGTAGAGGATCCTCCTGGACCTGGAGAGACGAGCACATATTTAGAGAAGAAGCCCACGGAACACCGGGATTAGACGGGCCTGTATATATTCTCGAAACAGTTTAAAGAGGAGGAAACTCGGTGGCTTACCTTGATAGGATCAACAGGCAGCGTTCTCGGCGCGATCTTCAGCTTCGGCCTCCCGGCCGGCGCCGACGACGTCTCCTCACGATCCCGAGGAGGTTCGTAACGTCCTGAGAAACCACGGCTGTCGCTTCTCCAGTCTCTGCTCTCGTTTCCACCGCGATCGCGATCGCGATCCCCTGAGCCCCCGTCGCGACCGCCGTAGCGATCCGGGCGACTGTAATTGTCGAATCCCCGGGTCGACTGTTCTTCGCGGGCAGCTGCTCTCCAGTCGTTGGGAAGATCCCGCTCCATCGGACGTTCAGATCGAGACATGAAGCCTCCCGATCTCCCGGAGTCCCGTCCGAAACCACCGCGGCCCTCATTTTCACTGTCGTTTGGTAAACTCACTCGGATCTCGCGGTTTCTGAGTATATCACCGTCCAATCCGAGAGCATCGATGAGCGCGGCCCGATCTTGGAATTCTGCATACCCGAAACCTCGGAAGCGCTCTGAAGAATCTCTCACGAAACGCACACTGGACAACTGTGAAAAATAACTCATGTTATTCGATGGGGCTCATTCGATTTCCCGGTATCTCAACGGCACAGGGTGTCTCCATTCTTTGCCACCGACGGAACTCGGATCGGGTGACGTGACTTACCCTCAACTCTCCGAAGAACCCAGCGACTTCGTCCTCGCTGATCTCAAAGGGTAGATTTCCGAGGAAGGCGACGTACGGGGGCTCCCTGGGAACTTTTGTTTCGTCGACATTCCCTCCTCGAGAGGAAATCGGAGCTGTGGGCAGGACAATCGGTCCAATATCTGATCCTGAAAAGCAAATAGGATTAAGGATTGAGGTTGAAAAGGCCAACTCTCGTTTTGAGGACAAGAGTTAGAAGAGTCTTCTAAACGAAGAGCGACTTACCGGAGGCATCTTCCAGGAAGTTTTTCTGAACTACTTGGAATCCTTGCTTGACATTGATGATTCCGCTGTCTCCGAGGTACTCATTGAGGTCCAAGGCCTTTCCCTTGAACTTCCTGTTCTTTTTGCCTGAAAACGGAGCAGAAACTGTGAGTTGACGGAAGAATCCGCCCAGGATGAGCCCCGAGGTTCCCTGGAGTTCCCTGCAGGTCGAAATTGGTACGTTCCGCTCAGCTTCCGAATCCAACGCTCACGAGACAAATCATTGGCCGAAGCGTTCACTGAGCCACGTCTCGGAGAAACGGCCCGTTTGCACCCTCCTGAAGAGAACAGATCTATCCGGGCAACGTTTGAATTCCCGAGCACATGATCCGATCAGATACACTACCCATGACTTCCAGCCACGCAATCAGTCCACTAAGTAGAGACAATGGATCAAAACAAACAAATGATGGGTCAATGATGATTCGGAGTCTCCAGAGATGATTCCGCAGCTGTTTCAGCTTTTCATACTACGCGTATTTCTCTGAGCTTTTTACCAGGGAGCAGGGCACGAGAAAACCGTAGCGTACCGAGAGTGATGGGCGAAAAATAATAGGAAGCACCGGCTGTCTGCTGTCTGTCAGTATGAGTCAAAGTAATATCCTCCCGATGCGACTCCGCTCAAGACATGGTGGCAACTCCGAGGATATGTAGAATTGGTGGTTAGCCGGTTGAACGCTATATCTGATATTACATCCGCGCATGTATCGAAACTGATTCCCAAGAGAAGGCCGGGCTTCTGACCGTAAACCGAGACTCAACAGCCGTGCTTTCCGCACAGGGTGCAGGATGAAAGGTAGTCACGTCGCTCCCAACAAATCGAACGTTCACTCCGAACCCTCGAGAAGATCCGAAAATCCACGGCCTCCCATCCGCAATGAGCCCCTGGAGCTGATCGCAAAAAGACAAGCTGCGAAAGTCTTCCGACTTGCCGGGAGCGGATGGAGAAATTTCTCCCAAGAACACCGAGAATCGGTCTCCGATTCCGAACGTGACAAGAACGTATAGGTTAGGCGCCTTATGGTGACGATGTATGCCGGTCGCCTGCCGTTCGGAAGAACAGAGCGGTGGAGTTCCCCAGAGCGAACCGGGACCGTGAAAGTCAGAAGAAAGCGCTCGTTCGAAAAACTTACCACTCATGTTTCCGCAGACAGTGGTCTTCAAACTTGACAAGAACTGCTACACAACAGCAATCCGTAGCAAGGGCCACGTTACTGTGTCCAACAACGCCGCCGAGATTCCACGAGGTTTCTTCTTTTTTTTCTCGTCAAATTGAACTTTCAAGCTTGAGTTACTCCTAGATAGCTCGCGTCCTCTCGAAACCGATTCCTACGCCGGATTGATCCGTTCAAGCTTCCTAGACCCTTTTAAACTCGATTATTTAGCGGGTCAAGTGCAGCGATTCACCTACGAAGCGTTGGCGCTCGAAAGACCGGCTAAATCGGACTGAGTTGGAGAGAGAACATCTCGCCCGGCCATTGGCTAGATGCTCTCCGCCGGCTGCGGCCGGCTTGTGAATTGTGAATCATCGAGTGCTTCTCTCTGCCGGGGCGCTCTCCCCCGGCTGATTGGGGATCTCTCATCTCGGAAACTTCAATGAACCCTATCTTATCTTTTCCTGAGATACGTGGTCGGTATCCGTTTTCCGAATGATTTCCGAGTCGACTTCCTCAGGAAATTACCCCTGGAGTCCCGGAAGCTTCCCTATGTACATAGATGAGGCCTGATGTGCAAGAACCCATAGGTGCCCGCGTTTCCCTGGCTCCTCCCTCCTCGCGGTTAATGTAGTTTTGAGTTCAGCTGTTTCGGAGACGCGCACATGGCGCGCAAATGCCGCTAGCGGTACTCCGGCCTCGGCGTGGCGGCACCGCGAGAACGTGGGAGATTATAACAGATGCAGAAGACGCACCCATGGGTCCGTGGTAAAACCGGTTACGGGGCTGGCTGATTCGCGCATTGGCAACAAGAGGGTGATTTGAAGAGAACGGTAGTGGACGAGATGGAGTATGCGATAAATTGAGCGGATGATTATTTCGCGCGGTTTCTCTTCCCTAATGATTTAGATTCTTCCCGGAGTGCCGGAACAGACGCACACCGAGAGTTCGCTTTCAGCCATCTACTCCCGAAATTAGCATCGGCAATCCAATGTTCTTCCACAAACAACCAGAGCTTTCCGATTTCCTCGCAAATCAGGGGTTCGATATATCCGATCGGGATAGCGAGAACCCTTGACCGTCTTCAGAGATTGACGGAATTCCCTAAGAAGTTTAGAACCGAGGCAATCTCGGACTCGAGAAGGTCCGAGAGATCTCGTTCAGCAAGTGGAAGGGTTTGGAAAAACCCCCGGTCCCCTGCCTACAGACCGGGGTCGCGATCAAGGTTCTCTATTGCGGTGATTAGGTGACGAAGTGATCGGAGAGCGCCCTTATGACTTGATCTTCGGCAGCACGATTCTGCGAGCTCTATCCGCTAATGGATTCAGCATGCCCGTGAAACTCACATAGCATGCTTCACGTTGAGTCCCCGCCTTGCGAACTCATTTCACTGTTCACCGGCAGAGAAATGCTCCCCGACCGGTTCGTGAAGGTGGGCTCCGCTTGAAAGGGGATCTTTTCGGTGTTCTCGATGAAATCGAATGAAATCCACGCTGACGGCATGTGGGACCCTGCTGGATAGAGCGGAGGTCAGCACCAGATCCACCCAACGCCCACTTTACGCGGTATTCATAGATTACAGAGCCGCGTTCGATCTGGCCTCTAGAACACGAATCATCGATAAGCTGGCTGCGGCCGGCGTCGCAGGTA